AAATGATAAAAATTTCAAAATAATTGCACTGCTTTAAAGCTCTTTGACCTTTAATAATGTGTGGATGCACCCTGCTGTGCTACGCATTCTCCAACGCGCCTAGGCATGTTTCTGATCAGGTGGTCAATGTCTAGAGTCTGAGGAGGACGTTGCAAATTGAGCAATCTCCTACCCATCATATCCCACACGTGCTCAATTGGGGATAAGTCGGGAGATCTTGGTGGCCATAGTAACAATGTGACATCATTATGTTGAAAGAAGTGTATTGTGACTCTTGCAACATGTGGTCGGGCATTATCTTGTTGGAAAGTTGGATCTGCCAGGGTGTCAAGATAGGGTAAAAGATGGGGTTCTAGAACTTCGTGGATATAACGCTGCGCGTTCATGTTACCTCTGATGAAGATTAAAGGTGACCTGGAACCATAAGCTATAGCACCCCCAACCATAACTCTAACAGTGTGATGAACATGTCTTTCAACAAAAAACTGTGGATTCCTCCTTTCACCACGTCGCCTTCTAACCCTGGCACGACCCTCGTGCATGCCTAAACAAAATCAAGACTCGTCACTAAAGACAATACTGTTCCATTCCTGATCCCAGAGTGACCATTGCCTGCACCACTCAAGGCGATTACGTCGGTGTTCTCGAGTTAAAGGGAGGACCCAGTGTGGCCGGTATGAAAACAAGCCAAAACTTCTCCTCCGTCGGTAAACACTTTGCATGCCATAGGTCTTCCGTGTTCTGCAAACCATTCATTTGCAATGGACCTGGTAGTGGAGAAACGGTCCCTTAAGGCCAATAATCTTAGGCGGCGATCTTCACGGTCTGTTGTTCTACGGCGGCGTCCAGTGCCCCTTGCTCTTTGCGTACGGCATTCTCGAAGCCATGCCTGACAACACCTAACCACAGTGTCTACACTTCTTTGCACTCTAACTGCAATTGCCCAAAAAGAAAGTCCCACTATACGGCCCCTATCAAACTCACTAAGTTGACGAAATCGTACAGGTCTCCGTATTCTAGGCATCGTTACCGATCGTAAAGGATGTCAAGAACCAAAATCCGCCAACGTTGATTCTTTACTGCGGCTGAAATATTCATTTTTAGAGCGTTAGTGAATTAAAAAAAAGCAGTATAAAAACCGGAATGTCCAACTGATAAGGCTAAAAATTTTTTCACTTGTTATTTACAGTAAGATAAATACATTCACCAACTTTTATTAAAATAAAACCATTTAAACTGGGTGTTCGGATTTATATGTCACTTAGTATATGTACGTAGCATCCAAAAATGATACTAAATTATTTTCGAAATTTCTCTCGACGTTAGCGTGGGAAGTAGAAACCACAAGAAAAAATTGAAAGCTTCTCAACCAAATTGAATATCACCCTAGTGTGAAATTTTGGAATTGCTGTCCTTGTATTGTACCATGAAAACCTCTATATGCTGCTGTTGGGTCAGTAAATGTTGAAGGCCCTGCTCTGCATCCCAGCGGCGTTTTGCTTATGGTACTTATAGGAGACGAATAGACTGGTTACAAAGCAGGTGCTTAATACGGCTATGTGTCAACGAATTCAGACACCGCCCTCCCAGGAAAATTTTCTACCCCTCAACTATTCAAAAAGCTTTGAGGACTGGTACACTTTTACAAAATCTCTATAAGTAAACATTAAGGTCAGGCTGTCTAGATAACTGAAAACCATGTCAAGCATGCCAACGATTGGTCAAATAAGCAATTTGAGGTTAGAAAGAATTTGAATTTCAAGTTGACATTGCTATTTTGTTATCTAAGTCGTGTAATATTCCGCGTGAGGTCCTACAAGTCAAATAGCTGTATAACTTTTTTGGGTTTGGAGAATAACTTCCATTTACATGACGCAGATAGTACTCGCCAAAAGTGTGACTTATAACTGTATCGAATGAAAAATATATTTCTTAGGTTGCAAACAGATGATAAATATCCACATCATGGATTTTGAAAGTCCAAATGTCCAAGCAAAAGTGAATTTAAACAAAAAATGGTTTCACTACAAGTGATGGATTCATCCAAAAAGTATTATCTATCTGGCAACACCGCTTTTATCTATGACCCAATAAGTAATGCTGTTTTGTGGACTACATTTTTTAGGTTACATCTCTTATCTCTCTCTCTAATTGTCCTGCCTTCTCTTGGTATAACTACCTTTTGTTGAATCTGTAAAATAGGTCCTAAGCCGCCTCTGTCTGATTTGCCTGCAATGACCTCTCCCGCTGTACGGTAAATTCTCCCTTGCACATCGTCTTGCCGGAGTATGTCTTGTTTCACTCTGCGTCCCTGTTGTTTGGCCTTATGTCGCGTGGCTCATCGTTCGTTCGGCGAACAACGTCGACCAATCACATCGAGGCGCGGGAGGAGCCGGCGTGGAGGGGGTCATGGCGACCGAAGCGGCGCTAACAGCGCAACAGGTGGCGCCCAGAAGTTAAGTAGGGGTGATCCGGTGCAAGGGAATGAGAAGCTAACAGGAGGTAACGTAAGGAAATTCTCTACCTTCAAGATGAAGGAAGATGAAATACATACTAGACGAAGAGCTTGTCTGAATCCAGCAATGGGAAAGATTCTTATTTTTTGAAGCACACTTAAAATGAAAGTTTAAGTAAAGCAATGAAAACATTTTTTGAATATCTTGTCAAACGGCAAAGTTACGCTACACAAATGTTTCTTATTTGGAGAATTATCTTGTCTGAACGCGAGACTGGGTGATGACGTCACATACCACTACCATCACTACCCAAACGACGCGCCCGCTGCCATTTACAAATGTTGTTCTGCTCCGTATTTACGATTTACGGTAAAAAAGGGTTGAATATGGGTAGACCAGCGACTTAAAAATACTATATTGTGGGTACCTAGGTATACAAATACAGGCGATAAAAGATTTAGAATGAAGTGGTGCAGGGTAATGAACAGGGACAAGAAACTAGCTATGACCCTTACATCCACTTTACCATTGAAAAAGAAGATGAGAACCTGTCTGTCCCCCTTTTCTAGACACAAGACTCATCCGCACCAACAATAATAGTTTACTGGTAGACTGGTAGGTACCAGGAACCCATGGCCTCAGGCCGTTTCCTCAATTTCAGGTCATACCGTAAACTAAGGATTAAAATCAACTTGGTGAAGCAGATGAAAACAAGGGTAATTAGCATCTCTGATAATCCTTTCCATACTTCAAACGGTAGCTATCAAAACTGTTCATCAACAATGGTTATCCGAAGTGTTTGATTAACAAGATTTTGTTCAGCTCTCCTTCCCGTATTTAACCAAATACTAATAATCCAAATAATATTCTCACAACTCCTAATAACAGAACTGATATAATTCCCAACAACAACACCAATTCCAATAACAATATAACCGCCATCCCAAATTCCAGATCTGGTTTTGCTGTCCTACCCTATATCAAGGAACTGACCCCTAAGCTGATCAGGCTATGTAGCCCGTTGAACTGTCAAATTGCTTGCAAATCCGTCCTCACTATAAGCCGTATTTTTTTAAACATGAAAGACAGAGTCCCGTTGCTTGGCTTAACCAACACAGGTTACTCTATCAATTGTAATAATTGCAACCAAATATACATAGGTCAGACTTCCAGATCTCTAAAAGGAAGGATTTCATCACACAAAAGTGATTCTAGGCTTCATCCCGAGAGATGTGCTCTGGCATCTCATGTCGATACAACAGGGCACTATGAACTACACAAGTATCAAAGTTCTTGATAAAGAAAAGCACCTATCCAAACGTTTATTCCTGGAAATGTCCCACATTTTCATGAATGACAATTGGATCACTTACACATCTCTCCAAATTTTGACTTTTCACAACCATAAATGGAATCTGGTTTTTTTGGTCTATTCCACCCTTTCCTTCCAAAATTCCATTCCATTCAAATTTGAATAATTGTTTTCTCATAATAAAATAAAAATTCTTTAATTCAATTGTCCATCTCATCAACAATATTGTTTGTTCAACTGCCTCTGGTCTGTTGACAAGTTCTTATTTAACATATCTTGATAAATCACACCATCTGAAGTGATTTAGCAACATAGCACACATTTTACAAAAATTCTCGTTCCATCCATCGACACTGACACCACCAACCTTCTTTCATCTGTCAAATGTTTCATCCTACTTCCGATCCTGTGCCACACCATTTTGTTGTTCACGATGTAATTTTAACTTCCGTTCTGAATATTTCAATCCGTTTTGATGTGTTCCTGACATACAGCTGTGTGTATTTTATATTAGTTTTAACGAATGTACCATGTATCCAGATTTCACCAGGCTACTAAATGTTTCCCTCAACTCAATCGTTAATAAAAGTTAGCAACAATCTCACATACTATTGTAAGTAATTTAAAATCATTTGGCACAATAGTTGCTATTTCTTCTCAATGTTATTGCAGCTCCTGATGAAGATGGCAAAGTCCATTGAAAGCCAGAGACTAATAAAGTATAGAGTCCTCATTGCTTGAATTTTGTCGAAGTACCCAAGTAAAGGCGGAAGCTTTATTTTTCATTTGACTGGTCTAGACGGCAATGACCACGTCTCAAGTTATCTGTATATATATGGTAAAAATAATTGAATGCAAATTAGAAGGAAAATATCAACGTAGTTAATTAGATATGATTTGTTGAACTTCCGCCAAAAATTTTGTTGGAAACCCCTCGCTTCCGTTTTGATCTTCCTCACCTGACTCACAACGAATCCGCTCATGTCCACCTCTGAATATCAACCCTTACCACCTTCCCCCACCTCCGCCTTTCCTGCCTATCAATCCATCTGTGCCGCCAAACGCACGTCTATTAACTATAACCACAGCGCTCGCGGTTTCCTTCTCGCTTCTTTCTCCGACGTGCCATTAACCAATTCCGAGCGAAGTTGCTAATCTCGCGGCTAAATTTGAATATAATCCACAAGCCACGCCTACTTACCCCCTCCCTTTGCAACCCTCGCGTCGAACACGCCACGCTCCCGAAGGCAGTTTTCATTTTCCTCTTCTCGAGAACGCCAGACACAGTTTCAATCGGATGATGAAGTATCGATGATAGTGTTATCAGTAGACCTCGTGTGTTATGAATTATCTAAAGTGAAGGAAGCTCTTCATCCTGTTGTCAGCTGAATCCGCAGAATCTTATCAATAGCTCCTCAAAGTTCTTGTGACACACTGCTGCGATACCAGACAATCAAACTTGAAGTTACAATCTTCAAGTCTTTGTGGAACTATTCCCTCTAGACAGCGAAGAAAATCTGATCAACTGGCTCTTCAGATATGTATCAGTGATATCTGCAACTTTTTGTGATAACCTGATTCAATGTCATATTACTTGGCATTCCATGATTAACTAGTGATTTTCGAGACATATATTAGTGAATTCTTGGAACAAAAGTGACAATTCTGCTCCAATACTAAACAGAGCAACAATCTAGTGTACACCTACTAGTTTAGATTTAGTGGCTACCCAGTTAAAAACTTGTACTTACTTAGGTCAAGTGTCTCGCCACCTACGTATCACTGATTTCTCGAAACCCTAGTGATAATACTAGACAACAAGGCAGCAGTATATAGACAGTTGTCGAGGACAAGTGATTCTCCAGTCACTATATTGAACTTACCTGGATCAAGTGATACCCTAGATACAAGCTCCTGTGGTAACCTGGTTCAACGTCAGACAAACTCGCATCAATCTCCAGGAACTTGTCTAAGCCGAGTGATTCTGTAGTTAAATCTTACTTACCTTGGTGAATTTTCTGTCCAAATATATGTCAGTCACTCGCTCAGCCGCACAAGAGTGTCTACAAGTAGTTACCAAGCTACAACCTCTAAACTACTACTCCTGTACGTCGTAGAAAACCTGGCTGGATCAAGCGTTATTCCAGATATACGTGAGTCAGCTCTTCAACTTCTTGAGACAATATTTTTCCAATACCAAAAAACGTGGCAAGTGACTCTACATTTGAAACCTTAAACTTCTTGTGAATCTGCTTTGCATACACGTCATAGAGAACCTCGTACTTGACTAGGTCAAGCTGATCTTCAGTTTCTTATCAGTGACATTATGACCTAGACAATCTGGCATTTATCTACTTTACTTCTTCAAGTCAAGTGGATCTCCAGTTATATATCAGTGATTCCTTAAGCTTGTACTTCCGTACAGGATATACCGCTTATCTTCATACCTGCCGAGGTCTCCTGACTCTCCTGTTTAGCAGTGATCCTTTAGAGTTTCAAAGCTGATTTTTCTTTACAACATTCAGAACCTATCACAAATATGTCTTTTGAAAGCACAACAATGAACTGACCTATTGATCCATCGGTATCACAAAAAAGAAATCTCCCTCTTCTTCAAAAAATCTTGTCAGAAGACCCTTGAAACCAAGAATGTCTTCTCCGAAGCCCATGAGCCAAGAGCACATCAAGAGGCCAATGAACGCGTTCATGGTTTGGTCCAGGGGCCAAAGAAGGAAAATGGCCCAGGAGAATCCGAAGATGCACAATTCGGAGATTTCTAAGCGGCTTGGTGCTGAGTGGAAGCTGTTGAGTGAGACTGAGAAGAGGCCATTCATAGATGAGGCTAAAAGATTAAGGTATGTTGATGAATCCGTATTTATAAAAATGATTGAATGGATAAAGTAATTTCAAAATGCACCAAAGGTTTGGAGATAATAAGGTGGTTGAAACGTACCCTAGAAGTTTCTTTGCAGAAATCCATCAAAAACGTGCATAACAGTAAACATAGGATAATAGCCGGAACTTAAAGTCTAACATCCAAAGAGAACGCTCAACAATTTCTGCAAGGTTATAATTGCTGTTAATTTTTAATTATGTCGAAGCTTTATAGTTTTTTGAATATTCACCAAAAAGAAATTTTTCCAAGATTGAGGATCAATATAAGAAGCCTTTTCTTTCACCCTCAAGATTATAATTGCCTTATAAAATCCGTAGGGATTCGTCACGTCAAGTAGCTAGATATTTTCATAAACTACTTGTCGTTAATCCTTTTTTTATTGTTCTGTATGACTTGAGGTCAAGCATTGTTAAATTACGTGATAGTTGATTGGCAAATTATATTTTTGTTCTACTAAAGGTTTTCAGTTATATTTACTTGTAAGACCGATGAGCCGCATCTTGTAGAAAAAATAAAGGCCGGCTTTTCGGTCACGCAGCGCCATGTATGAAAAGTATATTTTCGTATAGACATCTTAAAAAAACAACTACTAATTTCAGATGTTTACAAAATATAATGCCCATACATATTTATGTATATATGTACATGTCGTACAGCTTAAACATAATTATTATGATACAGGATAGTGGTTCAAAATCCAGACTAGTGTCGCTTCCATTATTTTTAATTTGTCCACCATTATAAATTGTCTTAACTCGTGGTTAGCGAATGAAAAGCGAATTTCTAGTTTGTTTGTATCAGCTGATGATGAAATGTTTTTTCTACTTGAGTTTACAGTTTTATCGTTCTTCTATTTGTTTTATCAAGTAATGTCAAGACTACTTATATTGTCAAGTACCTGACTCACAGACGTGAAAACCAGTTGACTTGATATAATATTGCTAATATCTAATACTCGACATGAGCTTGACTTGATTTCAAGTAGCTTGAAAATCCAGTCAAGTAGACATCCAGACAATTTCTAAAAAACCCAAGAAAGTCAACTTCAAGGAATCAAAATATGATCGGAAATGTTTTAGAAGAAATAAAACTAACGCCTGGTTCCCTAGAAAATAGGTAGATATCTGACCATAAGTTAGAGAGAATTGTATTTTCGTCTGTAGTAGATATTGTCTTAACAATACCAATAATTTATCTCCATGTTTTATTCGTCGTTAAATGAAATATATATACAAAAACAAATTTACTGACGTTTCGGCCACCTGGAAGGCACGTGGAAGGTCAATGAGGTGTCAATTTTTTTTTTAATATTTGATCCTTCGTCCTTCGATGGGATCATAATAACCATTTAGCAAAATAAATTTGTTTTTCTAAAGTCAGTCATGCCAAACGCCATATTAGAGCTGCAGATTGCCATAGCCATTAACAGATAGCTGGACTTAAATCTACTAATTTTTAAGTTGTGTTTTTTACTGATATTTAACATGAATAATCAACGTCCTTTTACACATTTTAACAGAACCGGAATTCTTTTATTTACCTAAAATTTTAACTATTTATTATTATTTTTCAAAAACACGCATAATCAAAAAAGTTGAAAACCTGTATCTTGCCGAAAAAATGTTCATATAAATATTTTTTTTCAAGAAATCATCCCTTCAAGTTTGGTGACGCGCTTTACTAGCACCCTATATAAACAGCTATTAGGGTTGCAAAACAAACTAAAAAATCTCCCCTAAGTGTCATTTACGTCAAATTCAATCAAGTCTGGACGAATCCAACGCACGCCCTGAAAGAACTTTGTCCGTAACCGGCTTACTCCCCTCTTAAAAATCAATTTAAAACAAACTGATGCGTTAAATCGCTGAAGATACTCCACTCTGCGGGGATTACTACCCTCCTACCCCCTTTAACTACCCTTCCTTTGCGAATCGTTTTTGTAAATGAATACGACTGGCCATTGTATAAAATTAATACTGATAGCGGGGTGTATCTCATAACACAGCATTATGACTTTATTAATAAGCCCCTACATGGTCGTCGTTTAGCGGGCTATAGTAGACAAAAAGTTCATAAAGGATAATGCTGCAGTGAGCAGCAGCTGCGGCCAGTAGGTACGCGATCCGTCTGCTGAAAATATCCAAGAGCACGGAGAAATTTATCATGTAAAAAATACGTCTGATAGGTGGGTACAATTGCCAAGGTTGGGAGCGTATAAGTGTACTTACATCAAAAAATTGAGATAAACCCTCCCAACCTCCCTACAACTTCCACCCTCAAGTGTTTACCCCTAACATTCTTTCTCAAAAATTACATCAAAAAACCAAATTTGAGCTACAAAGATCCTTGGCAATAGTAGTAACATTGTGCAAAAATTCCAAGCGAAAAATGGTCGCGATTAAGATGGCATATCCAACTTTTATAATTGAATCGCTTATTTGAGAAATCCCACAAGTCCAGGACACGTGGTGTTTCTCTAATAAACGGCTCCTATCTTCTACGCGACAAATGACATACGCATGCGTTGCGGGTGTTTACCGTTAGCTCATTTTCACAATGTATTCGTGCGAGAATGACGCAAAAAGGGACAGAAACAAGTTATTTATAAAAATGAAGTGATTAAAGGTGCACGAGTGAGCGGTAAAGAATATCTGAATTACAAAGGCATAAAAGTAAATCAGCGGACAATAGGTGAACCATGCCGGTAAGAGAAATACGAGTCATTTTGGTTTTGTCGGTCAAAATATCATTTGCCACTTTTAGGTGTAGGTCATGCTGTTTTGATAAAATTCCCGAAGGTGAGCGGCAAGAGATTTTTGATATATTTTATGCTCTGGAGACGAAAAATGAACAAGATGCATATATGCAGGCTCTAATAGAGTGCTCAGAGATTTCCAGGAAACCTAGAGTAGACCATAATAGTGCAAAGCCAAAAAGCAAATCATACAAATACTATATGTCTTCCAGTTCGGGAAAGCACCGTGTATGCAAAACAACTTTTATTAGTATCCATAGAGTCACTGTAGACCGTGTTCGTCGCTTGAGTAAGTTATAATCAATGGGAAAGCCACCTAATGATAGAAGAGGCAAAAAAAGACCCAGGGAATGCAAAACCTGGACAGGTGGTCAGGCAAGTAGAGGAGCATATTCGTTCATTTCCAGTTAAAAGGTCACATTATGGTAGCCGTGACTATCACTACCTTAGTGAGAAGCTGGATATAAAAAAATGCATGAATTGTTTCTTATAAACAATCCCGAATCATCTGTAAAGTATAGCTTTTACCGCAAGATATTCAAAGAACGTTTCAGCTTGTCTTTCGGTAGACCACAGGTCGACACCTGCTGCACCTGTGAGGAGCTTTCCAACAAAATTAAATCTAAGGCCTTGAACGATGTTGCTAAACGTGTAGCTGTGGCGGAAAAAATAGAGCCAAAAAATTCTACAGCAAGATGAAGTCGATTGAAGAGTTATGCCAAACAGATCCCAGTGTAGGAGCAATTTGCGTGGACTACATGCAAAATCTTGAACTTCCTGTTATTCCGGTCCAAGACACATTTTATCTTCATCAACTAACTGTCAATGTCTTCAATATCTACGACCTAAAATCTGAAAAAACTATGTTTTATGTACATCACGAAGGTATGGGCGAAAAAGGACCAAACGAGGCGTGCTCCTTCATTATGCACTTTATAAACAATGAAGTCCCAGCAAACATTGAATATTTCCATATTTTGTCTGACGGATGCGGTGGTCAGAATAAAAACCATTCAGTTCTTAGAATGTGCTTAGGTCTTACAGACCTTGGACGATTCAAGACTGTGAACCAATACTTCCCAGTAAGAGGCCATTCGTACATGCCATGTGACAATGATTTTGCCATGGTGAAGAGAAAAATTAAGAAAAATGACCGAATTTATCTGCTGAAAGATTATGTTTCCTTGATTCTCAACTCAAGCACTAAAAATAAATTTTCCGTATTCGTAATGGATGGAGAGAATACATTGATCAAAGACTATAAGATATGATGGCCCCTTTACTACAAAAAAAATTCTTTGTCCACAGAATCTTATGGAAGGGGTGTTAGAAAAGAAGATAAAATTTCATTTTCGGTTTAAAAGTTCATGCACTTCAGCTACAGCAATGATGAAAAGGGCATTGTGACTGCTCGTGACTTCATTGATGGCCTAATAAAGCACAAATTTAGGTTGGGAACATCTACTGCTGTTAGAACTTTTCCCGAAGTGGTCGCATACCCTAACTCAAAAGTCCCAATTAGTGCAAAAAAGATGGTAAGCATCAGAAAGTTCGAAAAATTCATCGTAGAAAAAGGTGAAGAAATCGAAAACTTCTATAGGTAGATATTTGGATGGCCAACTGTTGGTGGCACCGATGACGATGTGGATGAAAATTGACCGAGTCTTCTATTTTTTTAATGTACCTCGTGCTAATGTGTCCAATAAACTTTTTCTCAAAAAAGTAGCGTGTTTATTTTAGAAACCCCACATGTCCACCAGATTTTCATTTTTTTCCTCAAGATACATTGAAAGTTTTTTTGTCATTTTTTCTAAAAACTCTCGTACAAACAATCAAACTTCATATTTTTTTACTTGTTATGATGATTATATAACAGTTTTTTCAACTTCTCTAGCGATTGTTATTTTTGGACATGTGGGGTTTCACAAATAACTGATTCAATTATGATGCTGTCAAAATCGTAAATAGTCGACATAACGTCAAGAACATTTTAAATCTTAAATTTCGGAGTAGAAATCGAGAACAAGTGTTGAAAAAATGTCATTCTACCCCGGTTACTAGCTTTTTCGTGCCTTTCTGGAGGAATCTACGTAGTTTTATATTCTGAGTGAAAACAATACAATTTGCTGCACCATGAAGTTATTAACAGAATAATTCAATTCAGAGTAAAAAGCGTGGAGTGGTTGATGTATTAAATGTTACAA